AGAGGAATTGTGCAAGCTCATCTCAATGATGTGGAGTTTATGAAAGGAATGCAATGAGGTGGTATGGTATAATCAGGGCCGGTCCTGTCCAGTTTAGGGCCTATGGGCGATATACTATTTTGGCTTTATTTCCAAGACAAACAGTAAATTTTACTTACTTAAAGTAAAAAGGATAAAGGGTCAAATAGGTACATGAACTAACTTAAAGTGTTCAATTAGCCCCTTATATAGGAGGTTCTGCCCGGCCGTCGCCAATTGGGGTGGTTCCCGGTGGAATTTTTTGATGAATTTTTTTGAGCATCTTCTTCATTAAGTCTAGTTTACCCATACTAAATTTGAGCTAAAAATTCAACCGGGAAGGCAGTCAAATGATTTTTCGAAGATAACTGTGCAGTTAAACAACGCAGTACATTTCGGAAAATCATTTGACTGCCTTCCCGATTTAATTTTTAGCTGAAATTTGATATGGGTAAACTAGACTTAATGAGGAAGATGTTCAAAAAATTTCATCAAAAAATTCAACTGGGAACTGCTCCAATTGGCGACGGCCAGGCAGAACCTCCTATATAAGGAGATAATTGAACACTTTAAGTTAGTTCATGTACCTATTTGACCCTTTAGCCAAGTAAAAATTACGGAGTACAATAAAACTAAGAGAAATTACTCTACATATGACTAAAAACGTTTGTATATTCCAAAATAAGATTATCATGTTTTTATTCTCTAAATAGAAGTAATTAATGTCATATTTTGGCAGTATCATATTTTACACATGATAGTATTTTCCGAACATGACAGTAATTACTTCTATTCAGAAAATAAACACATGACAGTCCTATTTTGAAATTCTAAAAATATTTTATTCCTATTTCAGGAAATCTCCCTACAACTATCTAATAAAGGTTATAAAATAAAGATGAAATTCACCTTCGTATTATTTGAATTGCATATTTGGACAAAAGTAACAACACACGTATCACAAAAGAACATTATGAAGTATAATCATAAACAATTGCTTTATAATCAATCTTTTCTAAGATCACATGTGCAATGTTTAAAATTGATAATCCATTAAGTTTTTTGAGGCATAATAGATAATTGGGATGATGTTTGAGAATAGGGAGGCACCGGTGGCCAAAGACAATAATATAAATTGATAATTTTGTAATTAAAAGAATAAAAAGTCTAAGAGCTAAAAAGATGTGAAGAGACGTTCTTTTATTGATTCAACAACAAATGTGTTGACTTACAACAAACTCTATTTAAATATCAAAACTAAATTTGTATTCTTTTTAAAAGCTTGTCTAGCTTTGTTCAAGACTTTTTACTTGTGTTTTAAAATTCTCAAATTGTCAACAAAAATTACACATTAGGCCTAATTAATTAATTGAAATTATAAATAAAAAAGAAGCATACTCATATTACATATAAAGAAAAAAGTTTGGCCTAATTTTCTTTCTATTTTTTTTCGGGTCTAGGGCGGTCGCCCCGGCTGCCCTCCCCCTAGGACCGGCCATGGGTATAATCACAATTTTAATGTTTTGGAGGTGATTAATATTGGAGTCACAATGTTACAGGGGGATGGTGAATGACTCAAGAGTCAAGACAAGGCAAAATCGAGCAATGGTGAAAGAAGTGGTGACAAGATAACCAAATCCAATTCTGGGAAAATCAATATAAATGTTGATGGGGCCCACAGATGAATGTCGAGATCATAATGACGACTTTATTGGAGGAGGATACGACTCTTACGGAGCAAAATGGCCAGTCATAATTACAAAGGCTATCGGGGTGAGGGAGGCGATTGGCTAGGCTAAAAAGTAGGGGGCTGGGAACATGTGATAGTTGAGACCAATGCTCAAGTCACCACAATCAGATTGGAGGAGGAGTTGGGCGTGTCTTATTTTGATTTCGTAATTGATTACATCAGACAATCTCTTAACACTGCCGCTAGTTTTGTTGTCCAAATTTATAAATGAACCGTGAATCTTGCAACCCATATACCGAGTGTGAGTTTTGTTCAGATTGTAATATAAGTTAACTGGTGAACAATTGCCTAGATTAATGAAGTTGGTTTTTTACACTAAAAGCGTATTTTGAAAGAACTTTTTTGGGTTATATTATTGAGTTATACTTTGTATTATGGAGTAGTGTATATTTATTTCTTGTTTGGTAACATTGAAATTTGTTGAAATAAAGTTGAAATTGATTAAATTATGTTGAAATTGACTAAATCTAGTTGAAACAGCTCAATTGACTGAATCATAAAAAAAATTATTAATAAAATAAATAAAAAATTATACTTGGTATTTCATATGAAGAATAACTAAAATGAAACTTTATTCTAATTTCGAGTAATTCAATCATATGGATAATTCAATCTTATTTATTTATTTTGATTGTTATACAATTAACCTTGGAATTAAAAGTTGCATATTTAATGTAGATGTTGGCCAACACGTGGACTCTCTCTAGGGTTTGGCTTCTATGCCGCCTAGTGTACCTGTTTTCTTTCCCAATTCGTTTTAGATTCAGCCTTTGTTGCAAAGTTGGGACGTAACAGAGGTGGTGGAGACGTGTTCTCTTGGTTTGCTTTCGTCAAGTGTAGAGGCAACAATCTCGCTTGTTGTCTGGTTCGAGTATTAGACGCAGAACAGGGCTTGGTTTGCAGGGAAGTTCTTGGTCGGTGTTTTGATTCTTCTCAAAAGCTATGGAGGAGGTCGTGGAACAATATAGAAGAATGGTTATGGAAAAAAATAACAACAATCTCAACTTTGATGATGAGGAAGAAGAGGTCATTGCTCTAGGCTCTAAAGAGGTGGAGTTTCCGGTGGTGGGCGTCATCCGTACAGACCGGAAAGTTAGATTCCAGGCAGTAACAGGACCTGTTTGCATCGCTCCGGATGCCAGGAAAAGGAATGGCAGTACAACAAATTGATGAACAAAGGTATCTATTCACTTTTTACCATAAAGTTGATATGAATCGTGTCATGGAGGATGGTCCTTGGCTGTTTGAGCGGAATTTGTTATTGCTAAAGGTGGTTGGTCCTAATGATGTACTACATAAAATGAATTTGTTTGAAGCAGAGTTTTGGGTGCAAGTGCACAATGTTCCGTATAAGTTTATGAATGTAGACACTACTAGAAGAGTGGGCAATTACATTGGGGAATTCATTAGTTTTGATGAAAGCCACTTTAAGGAAAAATGGAGTTCATACTTAAGAGTTAGGGTGAAGATGGATGTGAGAAGGCCCCTGAAAAAGGGATCTACCTTGACCAAGAAGGGTGAAGGACACTGGGTAGATTGTAAGTATGAAAAATTACCGAATTTTTGTTTTATCTGTGGAATCATGGGACACTCTAAGAAATTTTCCCCATTGAAATATGTGGAAGATATTAATCCGGAGGAAACTTTTAGTGCTGATCTTAGCGCAGGTGGTGGGGGAAAGAATAGTCCCACAAGAGGTAGTAAGCGGTTGGGGGACAAACAGGGGGGTCCGAATCGTCACAGGAGAGCTCATCAAGAAGATGAAGGCATTATGCAACAAGGACGTTGGGGGAGTGTTGATGAGTCAGAAAGTAGCGGCACAAAGGATGAGGATAGGAGCAGTGCAGGGGAGGTCTCGGTTGACCAGAAGCGCAGGAGAGTCTGGAAGGATCCAACACAAGAAAACAACTCAGGAGAGGAGATGGCGCTGGACAAAGCAAAAAATGGGGAGGAGGCGGGTCTGATTTCCTAGACCCGCTTGATGTGTTCGTGAAGTTGCGGGTGCAGAAGTTCCACGGTGGTGTTTATTTTGTTATTGCTTTTTATGTTTCGTTTCACGCGCAGACTGTTGTTTTTGGTTTTTATTTTGTTGCGATTTGTAAGACTCTTACATTAGGCTCGGGTGATGAGAGTTCTGCAGTAACCATCTATGAAGCACGGATACTTCACTAGGGTGTCGTATCGGCGTATCGGAAACGTTCCCATATCCGATACTCTAGGATACTCGTACCGTACGTTCTCGGGCCGTATCTGTAATTTTTAAAAGTTTCCACTTTTTTTGTAATTATTTTAAACTTTTGGATACTCGTATCCTGACGGATACCCGTATCAACTTTATAAAAAAAATCTTCCAAAAAAAACTTTTTTAATAAAACACTCAAAATTTACATAATAAAATTCTAAAAAAATGAGAAACAAAAAAATGATTTTTACCTTGTTTTTATGTGGTACACAACTAATGGGTCTATTCCTAATTCATCCATCCCTAATTCTAATTATCCCTGGAAATTAATAGCTCCAACGGAAATATGTATTAGAACTTTTAAAATATTGTTTTCTATCTTCATTATTATAGAACTTTGAGTACTTGCACCTTTAATTTCAAATTTGTAGTTGTTTGACTTATTTCTCATTTTAAATTAATGACTTATTGACTATATTTATATTTCGAGGTGCACTAGTGTACATGAGATAAAATATGAACTTATTTTTAAGTATCTTGAAAATGTAAAATGTTTCAATGTCATGAATGCGTAGACGTCAGAGCATAATATATGTTGTTTTAAAAAAAATTGTATTTTTTATATTTATAAATACACCCTGTAACTTTTAATATTTATAAATACACCCCCATAACTTTTAATATTTATAAATACGACCCCATATCCGTATACTACTTTTTTGGTTTTGTCGTATCCACGTACCTGTTTCCGCGTACCCATATCAGTGCTACATAGGTAACTATTGTTGGCTCAATTATGCCCAATTTAGGATCAACGAATTATACTGCTTTTTTAAAGGTGGTTAACTCAGAGTCTGATCCAAAGGGCGGATGATTATGGGTGATACTCTTGTTATTTTAGATACTGAATGTTTTTATATTCTAATATAAGCCCTTCATCCAAAAAAGGTAGATGTTGGCCAATAAGGGCATAAGGCTACCAAAGTACCAAACACTAGCATACCGTAATTAGTAAATTTCGGTTTTTTTTTTTTAAATTTCGGTTTTTGTGTTTTTGTGCCTAATCGTAGCCGGAAGGAATGGGTGAGCCCTCTCAGGAAGCAGGACTGCAGGAATATACAAATACATGGGAAGATCCCGAGTCGCGACACGATTTTAAACAGAAGAAAAATAGAAATCGACAAACTAGGGGTTCTGAGAAAGATGAATCCAGAGAGAACCTTCGGATTGTCATCCAAGAGGTTGAAGATTGGGGAGGCGGCGGCGGCGGCGGCGGCGGCGGTGGAAGTGTTTTCTGAATACGACGAAGAAGAGGAAGAGGAGACGGAGTCGGAGAGTGTAGAGATAGGTTCTGGGAGCTATAAATACATCTACAATGAGGAAGACTACGATGGTTATGACGAGGAGTTTAAAAGGGAAGTGAAACGATATATCGACGCCTTGAATGAAGTTGGAGTACGCAATTCCTCGAAACTATATTCGATTTATCCATTAATTTGCTTACCTTTTTGTTGTTGTTTAGCATAAACATCCGCCAATTCTCTTAAGCAGTTGCTTCTATTTCGATTCAGCCCTACAACATAGACTTCATGGTGCCGGATTATTATATTTGCAATGGCGCTTTTCCAATACCTCTGCCACCAGGTCCAGAATCCCATGATTTCGATCACTACGCTTATAGAGAGATGCAGAAATCTTTACAGTTTGCTATTGATAAACACAATGAAGGGAAGGTATTGTTATAATCACACACTATTTCGAATTTTCGATCACTGTATGTTGTCAGCTTTGTCCTACTTATAAGTTTAATTGAGTATTGTTTGTTATTACTCAGGATGCAAAACTTGTGCTTCACAAGACGTTGAGGGCTAATTTTAAAAGAGCTTGTGGGTTTATCTTTTTCATAACATTTCAAGCCACAGATACTGCTTCTGGTGAAACAAGCATTTATCAAACATGTGTGGTGGATGATGTAGTTGATAAGATCATGACCTTAAGCGAGTTTCACCGGGTGGAAACTGAGGAGTTGAAGGTGAGTTCAGAAAATATATGGAGTATGTGAATTATGTGCGACAGCGCGTTGATGAAGTGGATGATCGCATGTACTAATTGCATCTCATAATGATAGCGTATATGATGCAAAGTGTGCATCTTCATTCACATCAAGCATGCTGCTTTAGGAACACATTGACATACTCCCAAAATTTACTCTTAAAGTCTTATTTGAGTATTTCTTTTACTTTATTAGAGTAAATTCTTGCTCTTAATAATCACTTGATAATCATCATCGTAGTTTTCTCCTATTTGTAAATTTTTCATTCTTGAAAGTTATAAAGATATTGTTTTCTTCCTCTAGTGTTTATTAAATCTCGCAAGATTTCATCTCTTCGAAATTTTAACCTTGGGTAATTAGTTCTGAAGTAAATGTGAAGCGAATGGATAGTTTTTAAATCCTTTATTTTTCTGAAACTGGGTGTGGCTGCTGGGATCTATAGTCGAGTATAGATCCAGAGTATGAGTGTTGTCTTTTCTCCTGACTTATTGTGTTTGACATTAAAGAGTGCTGTAGTCACAAGTTCAATCCTTCCCAGAAGAAGTTCTATATTATTTGAATGTCCAGAATGAAGTTCTCATATTCATGGAAAAGAAGGATTTTAGTAGTCAAAATCATTGATTTGTTTACGTTTTTTATTAAATATAAAGGAAAGATATACGTGGAAAGGCAATAAAGATTTATACTGCATTTGCAAAAATAATGTATTGATGTCAAACTGGCAACATGTTTTTGGGTGGGAGAGTATATAATACTCCTTATATTGCAGCAAAGATGTAGGCGCCAACTTCTCAATGGTCTTTTCACTTAATTTTCAAATAATCTAATCTCATAGTCCTCATTAGGATTTAGGAATGCTATTTTCAGTTTTGCTCGAATTTTATGCTCTTTACCAAACATTACAGTTAGTTATTTGACTCAATCAAACAAGTTATTTGGCTTGAAAAATGTACCAACCACATAAGGCCCTCTAGCCTTTCTCTTTTCTGTTTGTAATGTTATGTGTATAAAACACCGTTGTAACTCGTGAATCTGTTTGTGTAAATTGCAGGGTGTATGGGATTTGGAATGTTGAGTATTTGTGGCGTGGGTACTGAGATAGTGAGATGTGCCAAAAGCTTTAGTTGTTTTTTTAAGAATGTAATGTATGCTTCTTTTTTTTGAATGTAATCTATGTAGCACCGATACCGGTACGCGGAAACGGGTACGGGGATACGTCAAAACCAAAAAAAGTAGGATACGGGTACGGGGCCATATTTATAAATATTAAAAGTTATGGGGGTGTATTTACAAATATCAAAAGTTATAGGGGTCTATTTATAAATATTAAAAATAGATTTTTTTGAATATATATATACATACATATAATATCCTATGATGTCTACTCATTCATTGCATTGAAACATTTTCCTTTTTCAAGATATTTAGTAATAAATTCATAATATTTCTCATATACACTAGTGTATCTCGAAATATAAATGTAGTCAATAAGTCATTAATTTAAAATGAGAAATAAGTCAAACAACTACAATCTTGAAATTAAAAGTGCAAGTACCCAATTCGGAGTATGAGTTAATGACTTAATTCGGATATAGCCATATAGGCCCATTATTTGATTACCAAGTAAAATGTAGTTTTAGATTTTCATTTTTTTTAGAATTTTATTAAGCAAATTTTGGGATTTTTTTTTTAAAAAAAGTTGATACGGGTATCCGTCAGGATACGAGTATCGGAAACTTTCAAAAAAGTACAAAAGAAAAATGGAAATTTTTAAAAATTGCAGATACGACCCGGGAACGTACGGTACGGGTATCCTAGAGTATCGGATACGGGAACGTATCGGATACGCCGATACGCTACCCTAGGGAAGTATCCGTGCTTCATAGAATGTAATGTATGCTGCCAAAAGCTTTAGATGTTTTTTTTATAATGTAGAGAGCCTCTTTGGTGACACTGTTTTTCGGCTTATGAGGCTTATCAGCTAACTTTTTCACCAAACATAACTTTTGATTTCGTGCGTTGAATTATTTAATAATACGAAAAAGTAAGGTTAAAGTTACTTTTGAAAAATTTGTTAGGATGTTGTTACTTGAAGTGAAATTTATTGGTCTGGTCTAGTCTGAACTGGTCTGGTAAATGTCTGGTTTGAATTGGTCTGTTAATAAATGTCTGGTCTTTGTGTATTTTATAACTTTCCAAATCTGGTTTGGTCTGATCTGGTACGGAAAACATTTAAATTAAAAACATCCCAAGTCATTTTTGTTACTACCTCCGTCCTACTTAAATGTCTCGGTCAATGTAAATTGTTCTTAATATTTTATTTTATATATTCAACTTTTATCAAATTTGATTTTTCATTTTTCGACTTTATAAATTTTTTAATGTAGTTCCTCAATATATAAGTTTTATTTACTAAAAATATACTTATAAATCATAGGGATCCGTTAACCGAGGGAATAATATGCATAATTAATCTTTTTTTTAGAAATGAGCTACAATTTAATTATATCTAACGGGAAACCCATGTACAATCTCTAATCTTTATCACCTTATAAAAACAACGGTATTAACGGGATTTGTATAAGAATATTACTAAAATAAAACTTATTTTTACAAATATGACTATTCATTACTACAACGTAGTGTTGTTATAACTTAAGTTCAAAACTAGAACATGAATTACTATGATTTCATTACTAATCTAGTAATCAGTCATATTTTTGTAAATCATCTCTATTTTGGTCATATTTATATAATTATTTCTTATATAAATAATTACTAGAGTAGTAATTACTAGTAATTCATGTTCTAGTTTTGAATAATTACCATTAAATAATTATATAAATATGACCAAAATAGAGATGATTTACAAAAATATGACTAATTACTAGAGTAGTAATGAAATCATAGTGATTCATGTTCTAGTTTTGAACTGAAGTTACCACAACACTACATTGTAATAATGAATAGTCATATTTATATAAATAAGTTTTTATTTTAGTAATATTCTTGTAAAAAAACCCAAAAGCTTATGAGTTTTCCTCACAAGGATGAAAAATGAGAAACGTACGGAAAACGTATGGAAAAGGTACTACTACGTATATTGGGCCCGTTTTCATATATGGCATGTTCATTTCTTAACAAAGTAGTTCATGTGTTTTAATTTTATAATGACTGGAGTATGAGAATTATGAGGGAATGGCTTACCCTAGAGGTAGCCGTATGCATGTATATATATATTAATCCAGGAATACGGAATTACAAGAATATTCCTACAATATTATTTATTACACCCCCTCAATCTGAGCAGAGGGAACGATGCGCAGTTTGGACTTAAGAAAATTAAAACGTTGACTAGACAAATTTTTAGTAAAAATATCTGCTAACTGAAACTGAGTAGGGATATATTTAACAATGAGATCTCCATGAGCCACCCGTTCGTGCACAAAGTGATATGCTTGCTCCGATCATGTTAAATGGGATTGACCGCAAGGTAAGAAGCCGAAACATTGTCACAATAAAGCTGAACTGGTTGTGAGATGAAGAAGCCCATGTCCGCGAGTAAGGAGCGGATAAATAATGCATCCTGAACCGTGTACGCCACAGCTCGATATTCTGCCTCAGTGGAAGACTTCGAAACAGTTGGTTGCTTCTTGGACCGCCATGATATTAAATTATCACCCAGGAAGATAGCATAGCCAGTAGTAGATCGACAGCTATCAGGACATCCGGCCCAATCTGCATCAGAGTAAGCAATAACTAGAGAGGGATTACCACCCTTTACGTAACCATAAGCCCTCTGTGATAGTGCCCTGCAAATATCTGTAAATACGCTTCACATCTAAAATGTGAGTAGTGCGAGGTGCATGCATAAACTGGGAGACAAGTGAACAGCATAGGTAATAGAGGCAGATGGTGTGATCGAAGTAGATGCTTCAGCCGATGACATGGTGAAGTCGGAATACGTGATTTAGGGTTAAAATCGTAAGGCCTTAGCAACTGATACCATATGAGAATTATGAGGGAATGACTTACTCTAGAGGTAGTTGTATGCATGTATATATATTAATCCAGGAATAAGGAATTACAAGAATATCCCTACAATATTATCTATTATTACAAGAAAAAACTTGGAGGAATGTAGGGGTGGATTCGGGACGGGCCCGGTTCTCGGGTCCGGGACCGGGTGGTTAACTGAACCGGGGGGGGGGGGGGGCATCGGTTTTGGGCTCGGGTACAGGTTTTGGCGACCCAGCCCAGCCGGGCCCGGGTCCCAACGGTTGGATTTAAAAAAAAAAATCTCTTGGGCTCAAAAGAGTCGTTTGGCCGTTGACCCACAACCCAAACGGCTATATAGCCGTTGGGTGGGTACCCGGGAGGGGGGCGGGTCCAGGCCTTTTGGGGGGGGGGGGGGGTGGGGGGGGTTTAAAAAAAACTATAATATTATACAATTAATAGTATTTATCTCCATCTATTATAGATTTCTAGTATTTATACAATTAATATTATATCTACCATTTTTAAGATGGAAAGTCAATATGCCGTTATAAAAAAAAATTGGTGGAAGAACCCGACGACCGGGATGTCGTACGCAACTTGCTACTGGTGCGGGAAAGTGTGTAGCTTGGGACTTTCACATGGTTACGGGATGGCCAAGAAACATATTAAGTCCCGTGACAAAGCTAAATGCAAGGGAAATTCCGATTGATTATTAATTATATTATTATTTATTAGAAAATGTATTGCATATTGTATTTTTTCTCAATTCTCAAACGTAGTTCCTATTTCAAATAAATGCACTTGAAGTTTGTTTTTAATATTCAGCACTTGTATAAATAAGTAGAAAAAAAGGAAGAAAAAAATTATAGTGACCCGACCCGGCCTGGCGGGTAGCCCGGCCCGTGACCCGGGCGGGTGACCCGGCCCGAACCGGCACCAATGTGGTATTCGTAACCGGCGGCCCGACCGGGCTTATGCTCGGCCCGGGCCCGACCCAGCCCGAGTCCAGGCCTAGAGGTATGTCTCGTTTAGGCAACCTCTAAACCATTTTTATACTTTTGTTTCCAGTCAACAACGGAGGAAAGTTCACCAGAAAAGTAATGTTAGCAAACTTAAAAAAAACAATGCAGACATTTATATAAACGAATATGCGATGCACTCATGCACATTATGATTTACGGAAATCTACATTTATAGTTAAAGTAATGCAAATTTCAAGTCGCACATTTACGTTTAAAAGTTTTGCACAATTGAAATACACAATTGTGCGAATATGCGATGCACTCATGCACAATTGTTCAATTTTTACCATGCACATGTAAGTTTTACAGGATGCATGATACCTAAATTCAACATCCACAAAATCATTTTTAGGAATATGATTCAAGTCGCACATTTACGTTTAAAATTTTTGCACAATTGAAATACACAATTGTATGAATATGCAATGCACTCATGCACAATTGTTCAATTTTTACTATGCACATGTAAGTTTTACAGGATGCACGATACCAAGATTCAACATCCACAGAATCATTCACATTTCCCTCCTAAGATCATGTTCTCATAGGATCCCTCCAGATCATACCGATTCAGATCAAAGCAGATCATAAAATCTCGCTCCCAGTAAAAATATTCTAATAGTTACTATAGTTTAGTCTCATAGTAACTTAATTACTTAAATGTAAAAATTGAACATAAAATACTTGGTCACTACATTAAACAATAACATTTCTTAAAAACATATTTATTTTAATTGTATATATCTATTTTTTTGAATATATGTAATTGTTTCTGACTAAAAAAAATCCTACGAAGTACGAAGTATTTATTTACTACGTAGATAATTGCCTTTTTTATTTAAATAATAAAATAAAACAATCTACAGTCTACATCTCCAGTCAACACGGGACTTGTTTCTGCATTGAAGGTTTGCTTACATATCTTTGACTACCGTCCACACACACTTTTACGGATCTGTTGGAGAGAAGCCGCTTTAACTCCCACACAATGGCGTCTGATAACAAATTGATGAAGAACGACCAATTAGTCTCCTCCATGATAAGGCAAGGCTTCATATACCACCATCCTTTCCTCTCTTCTCCATCTCCTCCGTCTAAAATCGCCGCCGCCGCCACTCTCTCACCTCCGCCGCCCAATCAGAGCCCGACCCTCTTCGAAATGATGGCCAAGGAGCAGCCTCCTAGCTTCAGGCAATCGCCGGAGGCTTGCCACCGAGCCCAAGAGCGAATCTCCCGGGTTCTGGCCCACGCGCCCTTCCAAAGCCCTACCAGCGCTAACCGCTATGGGGCAGGGGATGTCAATCTGACGGTGGCGGCGCGTGACGGAGGTCCCAAGGTTTCCATGGACGTTCA